CCCTTAGGCCCCTCCCACTTGACTTCCAAGCCCTCCCACCCAGTTTGGGCCCCTCCCACTTCCACAAAGCCCCTCCTACTTCCAATCAGGCTCCTCCCCCTTTTAAAGCCCCTCCTGCCCCTTTAAGCCCCATCCACTTTATTTAAGCCCCTCCCACTTCATTTAAGTTCCTCCCACTTCATTTATGCCCCTCCCACTTCATTTAAGCCCCTCCCACTTCCTCTCTCTGCCGCTTCAAGCCCCTCCCACCCCCTTTAAGCCCCTCCCACCCCCTTTAAGCCCCTCCCACCCAGCGTGGCCCCGCCCCCTCAGGTGAGCAGGGGACCCCAAAAACCCCCCTTAGCCCCTCCCCCTGAGTTAACCACGCCCCCCCCGGGTTAACCACGCCCCCCCAGGTGTGTCCCCGCCCCCTGACCTGGTGCTCAGGTGACCGTGGGTGGAGGCAGAGGCTCCTCAGGGCCGGGGGGGTCACCGGGACCCTCCCCCGAACGTCCCCGCTCAGCTGCAGCAGGTGAAGGGCGGGGCCAACACCCCCAGCCAGGACCTGGGGGGTCAAACTGGGTTATACTGGTTTGTACTGGGGTGTACTGGTGTGTGAAGGGCGGGGCCAACACCCCCCGCCAGCACCTGGGGGGTCAAACTGGGTTATACTGGGGTGTACTGGGTTATACTGGTGTGTGAAGGGCGGGGCCAACACCCCCCGCCAGGACCTGGGGGGGTAAACTGGGTTATACTGGGTTATACTGGGTTATACTGGTGTGTGAAGGGCGGGGCCAACACCCCCTGCCAGCACCTGGGGGGTCAAACTGGGTTATACTGGGTTATACTGGTGTGTACTGGGTTATACTGGTGTGTACTGGGTTATACTGGTGTGTACTGGTGTGTGAAGGGCGGGGCCCACACCCCCCGCCAGGACCTGGGGGCGTAAACTGGGTTATACTGGGTTATACTGGGTTAGACTGGTGTGTACTGGTGTGTAATGGAAGGGGTAAGCTTGGTTATACTGGGTTATACTGGTGTGTAGTGGTGTGTACTGGTGTGTACTGGTGTGTACTGGTGTGTACTGGTCTATAATAGTCTGTACTGGTCGGTATTGATCTATACTGGTCTGTACTGGTTTATACTGGTCTGCACTCACCAGGTCCTGGTGGAAGAGCACGTGGTGCTGGGGCGGGGGCAGGGGGAACACCGTGGTGGGGGTCACGGAGCGAAGGTGCCACAGGGTGAGGGCGGGGCCGCCCCCGCACACCTGGGGGTCAAAGGTCACCGGTCAGAGGCTCCTCCCACTTTTAGCCCCTCCCCCATTGTCTCAATTTTAGCTCCTCCCACCTTAAGCCCCTCCCCATTGAATAAATTTTAGCCCTTCCCCTTTTGGCCCCTCCCTTTTTGGCCCCTCCCCCTTTTAGCCCCTCCCCTTTTAGCTACTGCCTCCTTTAGCCCCTCCCCTTTTAACCCCTTTCTCTTTTAGCCCCTCCCCTTTTAGTGTTTTCCTCTTTTAGCCCCTCCCCTTTTAGCTACTTCCTGTTTTAGCCCCTCCCCTTTAAACTACTTCCTCCTTTAGCCCCTCCCCTTTTAACCCCTTTCTCTTTTAGCCCCTCCTCTTTTGACCCCTTTCTCTTTTAGCCCCTCCCCTTTTTAGCTACTTCCTGCCTTAGCCCCTCCCCT